AATGAGGTTCATGCTGATTGCACACAACATTGATTGTGATAGCTGTGCACTCTCTCTAAATCCAATCGAAGTGCTGCTATGGTTCAGTTGACACACCCTGAAAATTCTAAGTATGCAAGCACTGTTAGCAAAACTAACTTGTCCTGGGAGAGCATCTTGGTTACAACAATTTTATGGCCCACTCACGAGCCTGAGAATTCCAGTTCTTTTTCTCCTGCTCTTTTAGTACTCATGTACTTGACACACTCTTCACCCAAAGCTCATTTCAGAAATGAGTAAGTACTATTGTTTCACTCTGTTTAGAGATGGAAAAACAAAGGCACCTGTAAATTATAATTGATTTGCAGAATGTTGCATATCACATCAGAGGCAGACAGAAGCAAAGCCCAAATCTCTTGGTTCTTAGGCCTGTAAATAATTGCTATATAACCTCTGATCCACATGGGAATCAAAACTTTTATACACAAGACCATTTAAAAAAAAAGTTATTTAAAAGTATTTTCGAATAGTCTCTCACTCTTCTGAGATGGCAAATATGGCTTTTGAAAACTGTCCAAATATACCCCTCTACACTATTGTAATAATTTTTGCACAAAATATGGCTTGTGAGGTATTATCTGAAAACTATTAACTCATTTGTCCATGGTAAAATGTATGTAGCAACATTACCTGTAAAGTTATGAATTCCCTCTGTATGATGTTGTTTGTACATGTTCATATTCACATAGCCCTGACTAGGCAGAAGTTGTTAAACAGGTCTATTCTAAATAAAGAAATGTGTGTTTTCTAGGGATGTGAATGGTAACCTGGGTACACTGTGCCTGGGAGAAGCCCTGCTGACTACCAGCCCACACAGTGAGAGCTGGTAGTGCAATGCAGGGCTGGATGCACCTGGGAGCTGGCAGCCCTGAGCAGAGTCCAGCTCTGCCCAGGATCATGCTTAGTTGGTGAAAATGGGTTAAAGGTTAGGTTAACCAAGCATGTAAGCAGTTAACTGATTAAATGGGATTTTACATCCTTAGTATTTACCTCAATTCATGTGACTGTTTATCCTGGAGGGGTCTGTGTTTCCATTTGTTTCACCAATGGGTTGCATATAATTTAGCAAGAGAGCTGAGTTACTGAAAAAACCTGCCTGAGAAGGTTAACTGTCAGTAGGAGTCACCATGAGCAGCAACACGGAGAAAATGCAGGCACAAGACACACGGCCAGCCATCGGGGCGCTCACATGAAGTGTATGTACCCCATCATATGGGACTAGAAAAGGGAGGGACAAAATCACCCCAGGTTCTCTCTTTTCTTTTTTTACCCAAGAAGACAAAGGAACCAGCCTTTGGACAGTGAGAGGGATACTTACATTACAATGTATTTAACAATGTTGCTGGGAACATGTGTTAAGCATTTTTCCTTGAACAAAGTCTAGTTTGTTAAATTTTAGCTGCTAGAAAGAGTTTATCTTGGAACCATTTCTGCCTTTGATACCTTTCACTTGTACAAATTTAAAAGTTCTCTCTTTGTAGTTATATTAGTTTATTTCATTTTTTAATCAAATCCTACTTGCATAACAAGTCTACCAGGGTATGTCTACACTACCACCCTAGTTCGAACTAGGGTGGTAATGTAGGCAACTGGAGTTGCAAATGAAGCCCGGGATTTGAATTTCCTGGGCTTCATTTGCATAAAGCCGGGCGCCGCCATTTTTAAATGTCCGCTAGTGCGGACTCCGTGTCGAACTAGGGTGGTAGTGTAGACATACCCCCAGAGATCACCCCAGCTCCAGCAGAGTCTCTGGTAGGAATCAGTCCTTCATGCACCACATAGAGGTTTTTCCTGAGGTATAGGTTCATAACACTTTTTGTTCAGAGCATTTGTAACTCTGGAAATCATCATTTATGCAGTTTGGGCTTCTGGGCTTGAAGCAGATGAGCAGTACACAATGGACCTCTCTCCAGCATGAACGTTCAAAAGGCTGAGTTCTTGAATAACTAGGACTCGACCAGATTCACTGTTCATTTTGGCAAATTTCAAGGAAATAGAATTTTAAAATCTGAAATTTCATGGTGTTGTAATTAAAGGGGTCCTGCTGACCCAAATGGGAATGGGGGATGAGGGGATCATAAGATTATTCTAGGGGTCTGCATACAGTGTTACTTCCATTACTTTTGTGCTGCTGCCAGGGGCAGTGCTGCCATTACAGCTAGGCAGCTGGAGAGTGGCAGCTGCTAGCTGTGAGCTCAACCTTGAAGTCATATCTGCCATCAGCAGCAGCACAGATGTAAAGAAGACATTGTATGGTATTGCCACTCTTACTTCTCAGCTGCTGCCTTCAGAGTTGGGCCTTTGGTCAGCAACTGCCACTCTCCAAGGCTACGTCTAGACTGGCATGATTTTCCGGCAATGCTTTTAACGGAAAAGTTTTCCGTTAAAAGTATTTTCGGAACAGTGCGTCTAGATTGGCACGGACACTTTTCCGCAAAAGCACTTTTTGCAGAAAAGCGTCCGGGCCAATCTAGACGCGCTTTTCCGCAAAAAAGCCCTGATCGCAAAAATGGCGATCAGGGCTTTTTTGTGGAAAACAAAGCTGAGCTGTCTACATTGGCCCTTTTGCGCCAAAGGACTTTTGCCCGAATGGGAGCAGCATAGTATTGCCGCAAGAACACTGACAATCTTACATGAGATCGTCAGTACTTTTGAGGAAATTCAAGCGGCCAGTGTAAACAGTTGGCAAGTTTTTCCAGAAAAGCAGCTGATTTTCCGGAAAAATTGGCCAGTCTAGACACAGCCCACATGCCCAGCTCTGAAGGCAGCACAAAACAAAGGATGCCAATACTGTGATTCCCCTGAAATAACTTGTAACCCTCTCCTGCAATTTCCTTTTGGGCCAGGACACAAAATTTGAGAAACGCTGGTCTCCGTCCTCTGTGAAATTGACGTACCAAATCAGATCTGTGCTCCATCTAATCTACTATCCTGTCTCTAACAGTGACCAGCATAGACTCTAAGACTAGACAAGTTCCAGAGCATCTCCAAAATAATTCCTAGAGGAGGTTTTTTAGAAAAACATCCAATCATGTTTTCAAAATGGTCAGACAGCAAATTCACCCAATGTGTGGTAAATGGTTACTAGTGTTAGGCCACAGAAAATTGTGCCTAGGGTGGTTATGCTACGACAGACGGAGAAGAGTCAGCAAAGGGTTCTGGGTAGTCCCTGAACAAAATTTGAGACATGAGTTGAGCAAGGGCATGAGATAAGCGAACAGCTGCATTTTTGTACTTGCTGAGTTGAACAGCTTGCTTAAGAAACTGATAAGAAAACTCCCCGTCTCCTCATTGTCTGGTACTCGCCTTCTGTCTTAATAAGAAAGTTGCTAATGTATCAAGGCCACCTTGTATAGTTGGCAAGGTATGCACCCACGCTAGAAGTTTCTAACTAACAAAGGCGGGTGGGTTGCTTAAGTAAATATTCTATGACGCGATGGAACTGTCTATATAACCCCACTTGCTATAGAAATCGGGTGCTGGTTCTTGGTAGAGACGGGCTGCTCTCTATTGTCGTGTGAACTCTTCAATAAAGAGCTTTGTGATTAGACCTTGCTGGTGTTGCCTGTCTCTTTGCGGTCAGACAACAAACTGAAGCTGTCTGGGTTCGAGTCCCCGACACTGGCACCAGTTAAAAGTTTCCAGCAAGGGGTAAAGGCAGTCCCCGACTTACGAACGGGACTTTTCTCGCCCCGGAGCTCATGGGCAGCGACCCACTGCCCGTGTCCTCTGGGGCGAGAAAAGCTTCTCCCGGTCTCCCTGGTCTGCTGGGGGGGGGGTCCAGAAAAGCCGCTGGACCCCCCCAGCAGACCAGGGACACCAGAGCAAAGCCGCCGCCTGGGCGGTTTTGCTCGTTTGCCCGGGAGCAAAGCTGCCCAGGCTGCGGGACTTTGCTCCTGTCCCCCTGGTCTCGGGGGCAAAGGAGCAAAGCCACACGGGCGGCGGGGTCCCTCCGCCTGTGCGGCTTTGCTCGGGTCTCCCTGGTGTGCTGGGGGGGACTCCTCCCAGCACCCCAGGGAGACAGGAGCAAAGCTGCACGGGCAGCGGGGTCCCTCCGCCTGTGCGGCTTTGCTCAGGTCTCCCTGGTCTGCTGGGGGGGAGGAGGTGCAGCTAGTGCCCCCCCCCCCCCCCCAAAACAGGCTTTTTTTGGGGGAGGCCGTCCTGTGGGAACCTACCGGCAGCGCCCCAGCTGTTCTGTCCCAGGCTCCAGATTCAGCAGCTGTTGAAACTGATCAGGCTGATTCCAGGAAGCTGGGGGCAGAGCAACTTTGCCTCCGGCTTCCTGTAGTCAGCCCCTGGTCAGTTTCAGAGGCAGCAGCTGGATCTGGAGCCAGTTCCCACTTAAATACAAATTCAACTTAAGAACAAACCTATAGTCCCTATCTTGTACGGAACCCGGGGACTGCCTGTATAGCGGAAGATGCAAGCATCCATGCTGCGGTGGCTGATGTGGGATTATTTATTCCTCTTGATGATAGTCACTCTAAATGTTAATAATTAGAGATTGCCTTAAACGTTAAAGCAAGAGGTTTTTACATTCCTTTAAAAACATTAATGATACAGGTTAAATTCTTGCTAGTAGCTCCTCAGAGCTTGCAGGACAATAGATGGAAGGAATCTCGCTTCATACAAGAAGCGCTCTTTAGCCTGTCCCGAATCAGAATGACTCTGCATCCACAGAAACCCATCATGGTAGACAGACCAAGTGGCGTGTCATGATAATAAACTCTGAGGAAGAACCAGCCCTCCTCTCGTCTGAAAATGTACATCGCATGGTGTGTGGCCTGGGCCTATGTGCCAGTAATGCCAGGACCATGTCTCTGCAGTGGCAAGAGCTCCTGTCGCGGGGAAGGTGGTGGTCAGCGGCTCAGAGGAGCGTAGGGGAAGGGCTTAGAGAGGGGCCCGAGAATGTGTGGGGCAGGCAGGCCCTCCCCCGGAGGGGGGCTCTAGCCCCACCGGGAAAGGGGCGGGCTGCAGAGGCGGGGTTAAACGGCGCCATCGCGGCGCGCAGGGGGCGGAGAGGATGGTGTCCAGAGCATGGTGCCGGCCGCTGTGCGCCGGGGCTCCGCGCTGCCTGCCCGGCTGGGGCAGCGCCGCCTTCTCCTCTCGCTCGCCGGTAAGTGGAGCCCGGAGCGGAGCTGCAGCTTCCTTGGGCGGTGGCTCCGCCCCGTTGTTTCTGCCGGCGTCGGGGCGGGCAGGCGCTGGGGGAGGGGCAGGTCTGGCCCAGCCCCCCCGAGCTGCAGGGACAGCGCTGTGGCCACGTGGAGTGCG